TGTTTGTGGGTTTTTTTTTTTTTTTTTTTTTACAATTTTCTGAATAAATAAATGAATGGCAAAAGCACAAGGATTGTTTTTTCTTACTTTGAAAGAAAGAGGTGAGATGTGTATCCTGATTCAGGTTTTCTTTGGTGAGCAAAGGAGAAAGAGGAGAAAAGGCATAAAAATTTCACAAGGAGAAAAGTGGTCTTTTTTTTCCTCCCGTACCTAGTTCTGATTTCCTTTCTGGTGTCTTTGCTGGTCTTTTCCAAACTTGGCAACTTTGTGGCTATGAGAGACTGCTGATGAGAGGGCTGGGCGGTCATACCTCAGAGATATCCCCCAGTCGTACCTGGCGGTGTCAGCTTATCAGAGCTGTCTGTGGGTGGTGTTTGTGAGCATGTGAACTCAGGTATCTCTTCTTCAGATGTTCTGCAATGAGAATTTTTTTTTTTCTTGAACAAGGGAGTAAATCTAGGCCATACCATTCCTGGTTCTATTTATTAGAATCACATCTGTTCTTTGAGATCTAACCTAGGGATGGATAGATTCTAGGTTTATCTCATGCTGTTGCTCAGCAACTTACAGGTTTGTTTTTTTTTTAAAAAAAAGAATTTGGAATGTTACTGAAATGTGCTCTAACTCTGAACCAAAATTTAAATATGCAATAGTAGGGAAATGTATGTATAAAATATGCTCAGTTTAATCCATGTCCATATTTTAACTTACAGGAAAAGAAATTCTCATAGCGAACAGGGTGGAAAGTGTTGAAAGTTTGACTTTTGACTGGATTTCAAAGAACCTCTATTGGACAGACCTTTCCTATAGGAGCGTCAGTGTCATGAGGCTAGCTGATAAATCACGACGTGAGATAGTCCAGAATTTAAATAACCCACGAGCAATCGTAGTTCATCCTATTGCTGGGTAAGTGTATTCACATTTTCCTGAGAGCTTGAAAGTGTGTGTCTTTTAAAGTCACTGAAAAGTGATGTCCTAGGAATTTGACAAGTTCAGCAAATACAAGATTAACTATATAAATGGAAATCAGTTTAAATTTTATTCCTTTAGCATCATCATACATAGGCTTAAGTAATCACTCCATCTCCTTCAAAAAACGTACTTCTTAGTTTCCACTTTCTCAGTCTTCACAGAAGCAAGGTCCCCCCCCCACAATTGCAGAGAAACAAACAATGTGACACAGATTCATTAGGGAAGGAATGAACATGCAGCAGAACTAAGCAATTTCAATTGAAAAGCTAAAGTTAAAAACCAGCCACTTATCCCCCACCCCCTCTTAGTTATCTCTACCCTTATCTTTAGCATAGGTTCTCTTAATCCTTAACATTTAGCTCCACCTCAAGGATTTTTTGGAGAAAAAACAGCTTAGAGAAGTTAGCCTCTTTTAAGACAGGGAGATCTGGAATTCCAAGGAAACTCACCCAAGCTCACCTGATGCAGAGCTAGGAGCCAGTGGGGTGTAATGGGCCCCTGCTGGTACCTAGCATGGGTCCGAGTCTGCAAGGTGGTCCTGGGTGAGCTTCCTTGGAATCCTGCCACGCTAGGCAATGAAAAGACCATCCGAGTCACAGCACCAGCTGTATTTGAATGGAACAACAACAACAACAATAATAATAATAAAAAAGACTGATAATTCACTAAAGCCTGGTTCACTGAGGGCACATAGTAAGAACTGTACATGTATAATCTTGGCTAATCTAAAAAGTAGTTTGTGATGTGAGTGGGGTATACATAATACCTGTTTTAGAGAGAGTGAATCTGAGGCTCAGAGGGTTCAAGTAACTTGTCCAGGGACTCACACTTTTTCAGCAACAGTTAGTATTCAAATTCCAGGTCTGTATGAGCGGAAAGCCTACGGTCTAACAACTCTGTATGCTAACTCTAGAGTATTTCTTTTGTGTGTTAATTTTCTTCATATGAAATAAATGTAAGAAACATTTTAAAACTGATACTACTGATAAATTTATTACCCTATAAAGAGTTAAGTTGTTGATTTTTCTAATGAATTTATGTTAAACTAAATCTTTGGCATTTGGTTTTGAAAAGCTCTAATTCCTTTCTTAATAACTCCTTCATTTAAAATAATATGAAGTCACATTTCGGAAAAGACTAATTTTAGTTGTTAAAGCTCTTATGAAAGAGAAAAATTCCCCCCCTCCCCATAGACTTATCTTTTTGCCACTCTTCAGAATAAAAGGAGATGCTTTGGGTAAAGTGATGTTTAACAGTCACGTTGTTTGGGATGCATTCATCATCAGGGATGAAGTGCATCCCTACAAATTTATCAATTCCTTGGAGACAACTGAAAGGTGATGTAGTGGATCCAGGATGTTTAGTCCAGAGAGAAATGGAGAGATGAAAATCTGTTTTCTTGTTCATAGCTTATTATTTCATTTGAACAACATGGAGTATTTAAAATACACCTGAATTGTGTCTTTTTAAAGAATCTGCTTGGTGACAGCAATTGTAGGTCCTAAGTCTCTGGATGTCCATTTAATGTCATTTGTATTTGTGAATTTAGTTATATGTTGAAAACTGAACCTTTAATTAAGAATTAGATCATTTGTATGCTAAATCTGCTTAATAAGCAGGTCCCCTCCTCCCCCTGTGTAAGCCCAACAGCATATAAAGAAAATGAAATTATTTGCATCAAGTCCCTGGAGAATCTGTGTTTGTGCTAAATCTCTCTAAGTTATGTGGTATGTCCCAGTGTTAACATCTTTGATTTATTACCTCTTTTTCTAGGTATATATTCTTTACTGATTGGTTCCGCCCTGCTAAAATTATGAGAGCATGGGGTGATGGATCTAACCTTTTGCCTATAGTAAATACTACTCTTGGATGGCCCAATGGATTGGCCATTGATTGGGGGTGAGTAGGAATCATCCCGAATTGCTGAGTTCCCTCTTACTGAGGAACACATATGACGCAATATGTGAAAATATGATGGAGTGAGGAAACTGGTACTCCTTGCTCTCGTGTGTTTTTACATCATTGATGGCAATGTGAGAAGGATGTACAATGCTATAGGGACATAAAAACACACACACAGTTAGCCAGTGTTTGCTGGGGTGAAAACTAATGCATTCATGAATGTTCTGCGGAAATTGCTAGAGGAAGCAGAATGAAGGTCAATATAGAGGAGACAAGGCCTAAGCCCCATTAGAAGTAGGATATCTTGAGGCTGGGAAATCTTTGGTGTCAATTAATCAAATGTATACTTGTCTATACTCACTCTGGGAGAATTTTTGAAGTATAAGATATAGATCGCCAAAAATTGATGATCTATTTAGGAATATAGGAAAAGGTAACAGGGTAAATAAGCTTACAGATATGAAATGCCAAAGTAGTTTATAGGAGGAAAAAAGGAAGACATATACTTAACCCTTCAAACATAGATTAGCTACCAATATTTTTCTTGTTTATTTAACAAAGAGGAAAATAAAATTCCTAACTTGAAAATAAAACTTCAAGTTTTCTAAAACATTTAATTGAAAAATCACTTCATAACAGTAGCTGTATCTTTCTGGAGTGGGAGGCATAAAACTATGAAATTTTTAATGAGTATAATTTAAGTTTTAAAAACATTGTTTAATAAATGTGTCAACTGAAGGGTTTCTGAATGCCCTCATTATAAAGGGTGCTTTTCTAATTTCTGGATAACAACTAACTAAATGTTTTATTATTTTAGTGCTTTACGATTGTACTGGGTAGATGCCTTATTTGATAAAATTGAGCACAGCACCTTTGATGGTTTAGATAGAAGAGTCCTGGGCCATATACAGCAGATGACACATCCATTTGGACTTACCGTCTTTCAGGGTATGTTTTGGAGCAACAAAAGTGTGCTGTTTTTATATTTTGCAAGTTGTAATAGTAGACTCATCCTCATTTGGCAATCTCACAGTTCTAGTAAATCCCACTTTAGAATATGAAAATTAAAACATGCTATTATGTATAGACAAAATACTTGATTTGTTGACTGAATATTTTACTTTTAGAGTACATATTTTTTGTTTTAGACACTTTTAGATAATAATATTGACAACTTATATGGGTATGGCACTTTGTAGAATGCACATATTGTACAATTTAACATACCAAGTACTCTGTTATATAAATATTAAACAAAGAAATAGTAAATTATGGCCTTCATCATTTTCAAGAATAAAACAGCAAGAGCTGTTTGTAGTAACTATTATAGCATTTTGTTGTTCTCTGATGTTTGCCAGAACCTATTCAGAATTTTTGTGGAAAAACTATTGCATATATTTCATCAACTGTATACTGACCAGATGACTGAAGTGTTTTAGTCACAATGTTGGGTAACTGACATCTCTGTCACATAGAAATGTAAGTGAATGACTGTGTAGCTTCAAGGGCCAGGCCGAGAGGGTGAGGAGAGACTAAAATCTACCCCAGTTTTGCTTGACAAACTATAATTAGTGCAGTTAGAGGGGTGAGTGCCCTTCTGTGATCCACCAAAGGCCTACACATAATGCTAGTTATGTCCCTGGTTGAAATGTCCTACTCTGAATAATTAGCACAGTGCTTTAAAAACAACAACAACTGGACACTGCCTATAAATCAAAGACCTTCTCACACACACACATAGCATGGAATGAATAGCTGGTAAATATATTGCATGTTCCATCCTGCTGCCTGTTTATCTGTGGAGGAGTGCATGGTATTTAAAAATATTTAAGAAATGCTTTTATGAGATTTTTTATGTCAATTGTATTCATCCTCCCATACATTCACTCCCTTTTTAATAATGATGTCAGTCACACGTTATTTGCTGTCACACAGGAACACTATAAAAACGTTAAATTTTCTCTGCTCTCTGCTGGAATGATCTGGGATTGAATAAAAAATGCAGTTTCAGTGACTTTTGGTTTCATCAGTATGAAAAAATTTGAGTGCAAACCCATAAGAACAACACAGAATTCTCAAAATAATAATAATAATAATAATGAATAATAATAGTTTTTCCCAACACTGCCCTTCATCATGCATGTCTTACGGAAATTTCTTTTATTGTTCAACACCGTGGAAATTATGCATCTTTCAAACAAAGGCTAGATTTGCTTGACTGTTACACCACACAGGACTGAAAGGTTTATTGGATTCCTTGTCTATTAAAGTATAGTAAAATCTGTTCATCAGTGGTGGGCCTGAGATTGACAGTCAGTCTAGATAATATTCAGTGAGTCTGGGGACTGATGAGTCATTGATTAGACCATAGATAAGGAAAACTGGTCTAATGATAGAATTTGTGACATCTCAATCATTGTCCGGTGAGTTGGAATTTTTAATTAAGCTATTGTTAAAGAGAAAATCCACTTTGATTTGATTTTTTCTCTTAGAAACTATCAAAATGTGTACGTTTACTTCTCTGCTTCAATAGCTAGTGTAAAGTGACTATGATTAAAATTTTGATGTTAAGAATCTTACATTACTTTTATCTTACTATTTTGAGCTTCATGGAACATTAATGCGGTTGTAGTTATAGGCATACTTCTGTGGATAATTTTATTGACTCCCAAACATATACTGAAAGTTCTTTGGACTAGATCTGTACTTTTCATTTTCAATAGCTTTTTATTAAAATTGATTGTAAAAAGTCTTTTTAAATATTTTCATTAAGATTTGGAATATGGAGTTTTTGACCTGGAAGGGAGCTTAGAGACAATTTAGTCCATTGCCTTAAATTTCCTAGGAAAATGAGCCTTCACAGTTAAGTATGTGCCTACCAGCACTGATCAGGTTAGTAACTATAGCTGGGATAAGAACTGAGTCTTATGAGGTACCCTTCAGTGTTCTCCTGATGAATCCTGAGGCTTTTTAGTTTTTATTTTTACTCATGGACGTCTAAACCTAATTGCTATTAAATGTCATCACAATACTCCGTTCATGTTTGCCTGAATATGAACCCTAGAACTACTAAATATACAAGCTTTTTGGAAGTCATTTCTACAGAGTAGCAAGTCATGGAAAATGATTACAGAAACATATTACAGATATTTATGGGAGAAGCTTCTCACATTTGCAAGAAGCATTACAAACCTATTGCGTATTTTCAAGTGATTTGTAAGTGAGCTGTGACAAAAATACTAATCACCTGTGTTTCTCCTTAGATTATGTATTTTTCACTGACTGGAGACTGGGTGCTATTGTTCGAGTCAGGAAAACAGATGGTGGAGACATGACAGTTATCAGAAGTGGCATCAGTAATATAATGCATGTGAAATCATATGATGACAATATCCAGATTGGTGAGTGAGACTGCCAAGCTCTTTTATATGGATATATTTATTTAATATGGTAGCTCCTTTTTTCTTTAAGGACTTATTATTAAATATAGATCCTGATAGTTTTATATTCCTGTCACCCAGATAGTTTAGTACTGTAGGACTTAAAAATCTCTGTTCAACTCTGCTAACTCTAAAAGCATTCCTGGAAAAAATACATTTTAGCACTTCTCTGTTTTTATATTGAATGTTATATTTGATAGGTTGATTTCCAAGAGGGAGCTACTTTTTAATATTGGTCTCAAAAGTTTTCTTTTCCATTTGTTTTTCTTCACAAACCACAGCTGTGATCAATGTAATGGAAATGTGATGAACTCACTATCTCAGGACATTGCTTTTTTAGGTTCTAACTATTGTAACCGACCCACTCATCCGAATGGCGACTGCAGCCACTTCTGCTTCCCAGTGCCAAATTTTCAGCGGGTGTGTGGTTGTCCCTATGGAATGAGCCTGACTTCCAATCACTTGACGTGCATGGAAGACCCGGCCCATGAACCACCCCTGGAGCAGTGTGGCTCCTTTTCCTTCCCATGCACCAACGGCAGATGTGTGCCCAGCTACTACCGCTGTGATGGAATTGATGACTGTCATGATAACAGCGATGAACATCTATGTGGCACATTTAGTAAGTAGCTTATACACTGGAGATGAACAGAGAGAGGTGGGCTTTAAAAAAAAGCTTGGGTTATCTCTGTGGGAAAAAGTATCCTTTAAAGTTTCAGATTTTAGGAAGCTAGACAATAAATATCATTCATAGATAATGTTATAAATGATTTCTCACATTGATTTGGACTATCTTCAATAAAGTATCTTTTTGACACTGACTGTTTGGACCAATGCAGAGTCATTACATTTTGTCAAGCTCCTGAAAAAGTTAAATCAAAACAAACTAGATACATAATCCTTAGTATCTGAGAGAATGGTATCACAGAATTGGTACTACCAATAATAGCTTTTGAAAATCTCTTGGCCTATACTCCTCCCCACCCTCCTTTGGTGTAAAATGAATTAGGGGTGAAATGGTGGTCTTCATCTTTGTATTCTTCTGTTTATGGTAATCTAGTTTATATATTTTGGAGTCTAATAAATGCTATTTCAGAATACAAAAGTATTCCATTAAAAAATAAAAGATAAAGGACAGAAGAAATCTCAGAAATCTCTAACAAGGTGAGATGAATAGTAATAATAACCTGTCTTTTTAGAGAAAAAGAAGAGTAACAGATTTGAAAATAAAAATGCCCAATTGTACATTTTTCTGAAACTTCTTAATTTTTTTCCTTTTGTGTATTACTTTCCTCTTTCTAAAGGTGCAGATTTCCCCCAAATATTTTATTAATTTGCATTTTTCAAATGACACACTTTCAAGGTTTCTGTAGACCAAGGTTGAAATTGTTATTGGAGGAAGTAAGCTTAAAAGTAAAGGATGGGCCTTACAGTCACACCAACGACAGTTTTAATCCTGGGCAGATTCCTAAAGCTCTCAAAGCCTCAGTTTCCTCATCTGTAAAATGCAGATAATTATGTGTATCTCACAGTATTCTTCTGATGATTAAGAGAAAGAAAGAAAGAAAAAGCATGTAGAAAAGTGTCTGGTTTATGATAATTGCTAAGTAGCTGCCAGACAATGGTGATATGATGATAATGAGGAGGAGGACTTGAATGACTTGCAATTTCTCCTTATTTTGTATCATGCTCCTTGAAAAAGGAGACGAATTGCGCCTTTACAAGGTAAGAACCATTTAAAAGGCTGTAAAAACAAATGTCATCATGACCAGTTTGTTTCTGTTGTAGATAATTCCTGTGCACCTTCAGCGTTCACCTGTGGCCATGGGGGAGAGTGCATCCCTGCACAGTGGCGCTGTGACAGGCACAATGACTGTGTGGATGGCAGTGATGAGCAGAACTGCCCCACCCGGCCACACATTTCCTGCCCTGCATCTTTCTTCACCTGTGATAATAACCTCTGTATCTCAAGGAACTGGCTCTGTGACACAGATAATGATTGTGGGGATGGATCTGATGAAAAGGACTGCAGTAAGTTTTGAATGGATTTCTCTTGGTTGATTGATCATCTTAGTCAATAGATTTGAACAATCAGTAGGCCTAGCATACTTTCCTCTAAGCCTCACACAATTTTCATTGTATCTTAGCCACTGTTATTCCATCTGTTGGTCCTTGTATCAATAGGCTATAAGAGCAAACATGGGTAGCTTAGAGTCCTACTAAATATTGAGTTTTTGGGAAGCAAAGTGAGGACTGTCTCTGATGTCTAATGTCCAGATAGAAACTGAAAAAAATCCCTCAACTAACTATTCTGATATTTAAAACAAATTTGTTTTTTTCCAAATCATATAAACATGTCCAGACATTTGGCTCTTGTTTTTCTTTTTATTTGACACAGGCAAAAAGGCAGTAGAATAAAGAAGCACAGAACATTTACATATCATCAGTCTTATCCACCTGCTTTTTATCATACCCGTTCTAGTTTTCTTTATGTTGTTTGTTTTCATGTCTGCAATAATAATTTAAGGTGGAGTAAATTTCCCTGGACTAAGTTTTGGTTTTGGCTGCATGACTAGGCAAGTCATTTTCCTTCTGGAGTAGATGAGCTTTAAGCTCCTTTCTGGCTTTCACATTTTATGAGTCTATGGTTAATACAACTTCATTGCTGGATGGGGCAGCCAGCACACCTGATTCTAAGGCTGTGTCTTTTCAGCAAAGTAGGACCCTGGTTTTTAGAATTGTTCTGCTTAGACCCTGGATTAAATCCAGTTACTATGATTTGTCTATACACCTTTGCTACTAGGCATGCAGGCCATGCTAACCACTCTGCCTCGCTAGGTTCCATTAGCTTTGGTGTTGTCCTAGACTTGCTCTAGTGTTTGTGAAGTGTAGTCCATGATGCTTACTTTCTAAGTTTGGCCTGTTTTTCAGGGTCTAATCACTGCTTTTGACTTTGCCCATAATCTTTTTATTAATGTTCTCCCAAACTGTCCTAATTTTGTGTTTTTGCTGGGCTGACTTTGGCAATGTGGCTGATTTGAAGGAATTTTGAACACATGTACAATTGAGATAACTCACCTATTTCTTTAGCATTTTTCAGTTTGGCTCTAATACCCACTGGACAAGAAATAAACTGTTATTTGTTTTTGTTTTTGGATGACATTAGACTTTACAGCAACCTGCCAACCTAGTCAGTTTCATTGCCCTGACCATCGGTGTATTGACCTGTTTTATGTCTGTGATGGGGACAAGGACTGTGTTGATGGATCTGATGAGAACGGTTGTGGTAAGTGGATTGCTTTATTTTTGTTCATGCTGTTTAGAAAAATACCAGTGTTTAGTCATTTTCTCATTGAGCTGATTTCTAATGCTTTTCTCTTTCATTCTTAGTAATTAATTGCACTGCTTCTCAATTCAAATGTGCCAGTGAGGATAAGTGTATTAGCAACACATATCATTGTGATGGTGTTTTTGACTGCAGTGACCACTCTGATGAGAAAGACTGTCGTAAGTACCATTCACCCAGAATGTTTCAGATGAAGAAATCATTTCATTTTACCAGCATTGATATTGCTATAGATTTTCTCTAACTCAGACAAACTGGAGGAAAGATAGTCTGAATTACAAAGTATTATCAAAGGAATGCATTATTAAACGTATAATAAAGTTGCCAAGGCATTACCAAATAATGACTTATACTTTGTGAAGTAAGTGATTGTGTAAGTGGGCACTTTTAAATAATTTCCTAGGTAGGTTAAATATTTCTTAGATATTTTTGTTCTTACTATTAATTTTAACTAGGACATCCCAAATTAGTGTGTTTAAAATTTTTGAGACATAGTAAATAAAAAATATTTTTATTTATTTTATTATTTTTAAAAATTTTATTTTATTTTACTTTTCCCATCACCTTAATTGATTCTTTTAAATCTCAACGTGGAGGTAAAATGATGGTATGGGTATGGTATGGAGCAGAATTAGATATTGACTCTAATGAATTCATTCTTTCAGCTGTTATTGGTTGAATCTCTGCTAAGATATTATATATGGTATTTGTCCTTAGAATCTGGAAAGAGAAATTATAGAATGTAAGAAACAATTAAAGCAAGGTGGACAGTTACAAGGGCCTTTAAAATGATACAGATAAAATTCTTTGGAGGGTCAGAGAAAAGAAATTCCTTTTACTCAGAGGATTCAAGGAGAACTTTGTGGAATATAAATCTGATGGACCTAAATGTTCAAAAGCTAGAAACCTATAATGAACAGGATTTATTATTGCCTACATTTTGTGTTACATGGATTTTAAACTTGTAAAATGTTTTCCGTGAAGTGGTCATTTGTTTGAATAATGGTATTTTATTGATCTCAGAAAGAGGAAAGGAGAGGGAGAGAGATAGATAGAAACATCAATGATAAGAAAGTCATTGATCGGCT